CAGGCTCGATCCGCCCCGTTCCACCTCCCCAGTCTGAGCACAGCTAGCTGAAGCCCCCTCTGTGGAGGAGTGTCTCCCAAGTCTATTAATAGAGAGCCTCTCTTCCCTCTCCTAGTGTGGCACTGTATCTTTCTTCACCTTCTCCCGTTCCTTTGACTCTTTATCTGTTCCCTCTATTGAGTATAGCTTCCGCTCTTCACTCTCTGCACTATCCTCTCATTCCTCCATCCACTTATTCATTCATTCAGGATTCCCAGAAGATGGAACATCCTCCTGGTACCAATCTAGGCATAGGGATCCCACAGCAAAAAGGACAAACAAGGTTGCTTTCATAGAATTTTGAGTTGGAAACAGAAAATAAGCAATTACATAAATTTAAAATAAGATATATCCGGATAGTGAGAGAAGATGGGAGGAATAAGGTACAGGGTCATGAGATGAGAGTAGCTCAGGCGAGGGTGATGGGTAGGAAGCCAGTTTAGACAGTGTGTCCAGGGAGTGTTACTCAAGAAGTCATCTGAGGCAAGAGCAGAATGATAAGAAACCAGCCACAGGATGAAGAGCGTTCTGGGTAGAGGGGACAGCTCATGCAAAGGCTCTATTATGGGAAAGAGCTTGATAAGTTTGAGGTACATATTTAAAAAGTCAAGTGTATCTGGAACACTGTGGACAAGCAAAGAATGGTAGACCTGAGTGTGAAGAGACAGGCAGAGTTCAGGGCAGGGCTTGCTGGACCATGGAGAGGAGTCTAGATTTTAATTATTGTATTATCCAGTGAAATGCAACTGAAGGGCTTCAAGCAAGAAATGTGCATGGTCTCATAGGATACAAAGTGCTCTGGCTTCTGTCTGCTATGGCTTCACCCTCAACTATCAAGGGAAGATAATCATCAAGTTGGAAAAAGGTAAAAATAAATAAATAAATAAACAATACCGCCACCAACAAAAAATAAAAACAGCAAAAAGGGATTGAAGCCAAAATGGCAGAAAGGAGGAAGGGATACCTTAATGTAAATGAATTGAAAACTCTTAGAACAAAGCCAGATATACTTTAGGGAACTAAAGGTACTTGTGAAAGTGACTGAGGCCTACTGCCAAAAATCAAAGGAAATGTCAGAAGGCTGAAAAAACCAAATGCTCCTGTTTTCAATAGAGGGAAGACAGGGGAAGTGGCTTGTGCAAACTAGAGGCAAGTACATCGTTCTTAAAATCTCACGTAAAATTCTCAAGGTGACTATTTAAAATGAGATTGGAAAACATTTTAAAAAGAACATTGTGATCATTAGGAAATCAGCACAAACAAACATGAGACAAACTTATGTAAAATTAAGCCAATTCGTGCTACAGTGGCGGTGATGGCTGTAGTGTAGTGGTTCATAGGATTATCAGACTGAAAACATTTCAATCACTCTATATAGTTGGGTGAGACTTTCAATAAAACCATTGAATCTCAAAGATGGTTGGAAAATTTTTTTTAAATATTTGTTTATTTGGCTGCACTGGGTCTTAGTTGTGGCATGTGGGATCTTAGTTCCCTGATGAGGGCTCAAACCCAGGGGCCCTGCATTGGGAGAATGGAGTCTTAACCACTGGACCACAAGGGAAGTCTCTGATTGGAACTTCATCAACAATCCATACCAAATTTCTAACTTATAGAAGATTTTTTTTCTACAACATCCCAGTAACTCTCTGCATAACAACTGCTTGAACATAACAAAAGGTAATTCATTTCACTCTGGAATGGTTTGAAATATATTACTGAAAATCTGTTTCTATGTAAACGTAAACCTCTCTTATCTGGATCATTATAAGTCTGATTCCTCTCACATATACCCTTTGTTTTTTGATTGATTGATTAATTTTTTGCCTGCACCGCAAGGCACGTGGGATCTCAGTTCCCTGATTATCATTGAGATGGAACCTGTGCCCCCTGCAGTGGAAGCACAGAGTCTTAACCACCAGACCTCCAGAGAAGTCCCATATACCCTTTGTTTTAAATTTTCAGAATGTGTTATGATGCAAATATGGAAAATTTGGAGATACATTTGTGTATTTGTGATTGAGCTATAATCACAATACCAAATATAATCACCATACCAATGTAATACCAAAGAAGCCTAATTAGTCAAACTAGAGTAAGGTCTCTCAAATCATGCCAAAGAACTCTTTTTTGTTTTTTTCCTATCGATTAAAAAAAGTCTATATTTGGATCAAGTGATTGTCAAGCCTAAAGATGAAACAAAGCTAAAGAAAAGAGATGTTGGATAATTAAATCTGGATTCAATACAAGTATTAATAGCATGGGATAATAAACTGATAAATTTTAATAGCAATAAATACAGAAGTTTTTTTCCCTAAGATACCCTGTATAAGTCCAAGATAACTGTGCAACAGGTTGAGTGAAAGATACTTATGAGAATTTAACTGACCATAGCTCATTATAAGTGAGATATGTGTGTTAGCCACTCAGTCGTGTCCGACTCTTTGCAACCCACCAGGCTCCTCTGTCCATGAGATTCTCCAGGCAAGGATACTGGAGTGGGTTGCCATTTCCTTCTCCAGGGGAATCTTCCCAACCCAAGGATCGAACCCAGGTCTCCTGCACTGCAGGAAGATCCTTTACCAACTGAGCTACAAGGGAAGCCAACTGTAAATATAACTGTTCAGACACACCATCTAAAGCAAATGTGGCCATTATTCTCCTGGATTCACACTGCCCAGACCCCACAGAAAACATCAGTTCCTCTTCTGAATGTCACTTTGAGAATCATGCCGACAAACTAAAAATCCTCCTGCAGTGATGAGGGTAATTAAGGGCTGGAAACCGACCAGAAAATACACTGAAAGAAACTTATAAAGCTTAACCCCAAACAAAAGAGTCTGGGGTGGAGTGTGGGGAAGCATAACTCTCTATTTAGGAAAACAGCTTGCGGACCACTTAATGGAGTTTGGGGAGGAAGGAAGAGTGTATAGAATTGAATAGAATATAAAGGAGAACTTTTTTAAACATTCAAAGGAACCAACTTGTGAAGTAGTAAGCTTTGGCCACTGACAAAGGCCAAGACTGTTCATCAGGAATGTCCTTGAGGGATTCAAGAATTAGAAAGGAAGTTGAATTAAGTCAACCTTAACTTCTCATCCAAGTCTAACACACTGATTCAGGGTAGGTCTTCAAAGCAAGATAGAGTTTATGGCCCGGTGGCTCCCTGCCCAGGAAGAAGGACACTCTGTTGCTCTGGGATACGTTAGGAGGGAGAATTTCCTGCATGTGGTTCGCTTACAGTCAGCTGTTACCCCGCCATTCTGTTTTGGAATATCAATGTCAAGCTTCCCCTTTTGGAAAGGGAGCAGTAGGGAATGAGAAGGGGGTGGGGTGGACGGTTCTTGTATTAACCTTTCACTCGGTTCCAAGCATTCCTCATCTATTATGTCAATTTGAGTTTATAACTAAATTTGAAGGTTCAGGTTTCCCTTCCAGAGATGGGGCGGGGCATTGAAACAGCTGCTAGGACTAGGGTAAGGCTAATAGTTGGGAGACGCCAAGCCACAATCTATCTGCTTTTAAACTGGGGAGGGGGGAGTGATTAGAGCGAGAGGGAGTTACCCCACCCCCAACAGTACTGCCGAACCGACATCTGGATCACCTCCCTGGGTGAGGAGGTGAATGTGGGAACAGGTGCGCCTCACTCTTAGCCCATTTCTAAGCAGCGATTATTTTGCTCCGTTCAGGGTGTCCGGAACCAACTGATCAAGGCTAGACAAAGACCACACCGGGAGAGAAGGAGGGGATGGGGTCGCTAGAGAGAAGCCCGAGTCATGTACAGTGTACATTGCAGATGACGTCACTGATCATTGCCTGCGAGAGATTTGGCCCTCCTCTTCCCGGAGCTGGAGGCTAGCACGTCTGTGCAGGAAGCCCGAGTGGGGTTGCCTGGGGGGTGTGAATGGGTGGGAGGAGGCGTGCCCCTACTGGGGAGACATGTGGAGATGTGAAAGGGAAACCTGGAGACAGCCGGCGAGCAGAGAAATCGCGAGGGCTGAGGTGTGTGCGCAGCTCCGAGCTCCGCCCCCGCGCCAGGCAGCCGTGCTCGGCCCTGGGAGGGGCACGCCTGTTTGGGGGTGGGGAGTGTTGCACGAGGGGGTGGGTCAGTGGTGGCAGGGAGGGTGGAGAGCCGCCTGCGCATGTCAAGGCTGACTGAGCACACACGGTCTTGGGGGGCCTTGGAGAAGGGCAGCTGGTCACCTGCTACTCAGGGTCGGGGCCCTTGCACGACCTTGTGGGCGAGCTCCCGGGAAGGGGTCCATCACCCTCCCCCGCCGCCCCGCCTCTGAGATCGCCAGCCAAATAGAAGGTTCCGCCTTCTTCTTTCTAGCCCCTTCGGATCTCCCCGGGGAGCTTCGGCGGGTGTGGACGGTACCGAGGTGGAACGAATTTTGTAGCTCAGACGGCAGCTCCTTGTTGGTTTCGGGTGTATGGGCACGCCCAGCTGGAGAAGCCGCCAGGGCGGATGAAGCCGGCGCTCCTGGGTCTGGGTGGATCCTAGTTGGAGAGTAACTGTTCGTAAGGAGGTGAGAGGTGGATTAACATGGATCCCTTCGACAGCCCAACCGCCTAGAGCCTGCCGGCTGCTCGGTTCCGAGCCAAGCTTTCCGCGACGCGCAAACACGGGAGACTGGAGGTTCCGGGGTGGGCGGGGAAGGCACTGTCCGTGGTGCTGATCCGGATCCCAGCAACGGGCTCTGGGGAGAGCGCGCCGAGCTGCAGATCCGCTCCCTCGAACTGGGGCGGTCCGCTAGGGTGGCTTGGAGCTGAAACCCCGCTTGGCTCCAAAACCCAGCAGAGCCTCCTCGGTCACCGGAGCTTGGCCTTTATTTCAGTCAGAAAGTCGCTTCCTTGGGCCAGTTCGTCCCAAAGGGTTTCCTCGAAAGTCTCTGAGAGGGAGCGGTTGTTGACCCAGGGAATCTCTGTTTAGCCCCGGAAGCCACCCGCTGAAAAAAAAGATGCCTGCCTTCAACAGATTGTTTCCCCTGGCTTCCCTTCTGCTCATCTTGTGGGGTAAGTACCAGAACCCTGCCATGCGAGATGCAGATAACAGTAATAATGTTAACAATAATAACACATTGATATCGTTGATGACAACAAGGAGCCCTGGTTGGCTTTCCTCTGTACATGTCTTCCAGACATGGGATCCAGAGGGATTCCATGAGAGCTAGGATTTTGAGATTGGCAAAAGGCCTCCCTATTCCTCTGCTGCTTTATTCCCGAACCTCCCTTGGTGGTTTCCCCACCCTTCTTCCCGTTTCCTGCTAATTACAAAGTATTTTTTCCCCCTTTCCTATTGCTGAAAGAGAATGCTATCACGTTCATTATAAAAAAAAAAATCTTGGTTGTAGTTGCATTTCATTTCTCAATGAGTTCTTCAAATTAATTTTTATACATTAAAAATCTGGATGTGTGCATTTTGGGAGTGAAAATACTTTAGTTGTTGATCCTACTGTTTAATTTTAATAAGTAAAACAGGCTTCAGCCATTTGCAGTAATATATTAGATGAATAGGCACCTGGGAATTGCATCTTTTTTCTTTTTCATGAACATGGGGAACTAAGGTGCTTTGGTGTTTGGGGAGCTGGGTTTTTTTTTGCCTTCAAGGATAAATAGGTTCTTGTTTATCTATTGTGAAGCAGTGAGGTGACCTTCTCTCTCCAAATAAGGGAGTCCTATACTTGCAACAGTAAAGCTGAGCAGAGTGGTGTTAGAGATGGGCTTGAAGTGGGGTGCCCGCATGTGTATGGCAGAAGTTAATGAGTCTACATAATAATGTCTGCATGTGCGACTAAGTGAATGCTTTACCATATTGATGTATATGCCTCAGCGTCTGAATGTGTGTGCTAGTTTGTGTTGGAGCATGTTAGCATGGGCATCTGAATGGATTGATGAGGATGTGGTAGTCCGTGTGTGTGTGTGTGTGTGTGTGTGTATTTGTGTGTGTGTGTGCATGTAGTTGTGTGTAGTTGTGTAATTATGGGCATTCAGTCTTGCCAACTTAGATCCTCAGGTCAAATATACATGCTCTCCAGTTGATAAATTGCTTGCCACAATCTTAGCTACCTTCCTCCATGCTAAAAATCAATAACCAGGATAATTAGATGTGAGCAAGCCCACTTACCTTACTGAAGCTAGGTATGTGGGATTATGCTCTGTGATTGGCATGGAACTCATTCTGCCAGTGCAGTGGCAGATATGCTGATGGGAATTGCCTCTTTACCTTATTATCTCTTTATTAAGCCTCCAGGACTAACTCTGGCTGCCAGTGTTATCTGGATTTTGCATGTGACCAGAAGCAGAGCCAAGCTTCCTGTTGAACAAAATGCCTGATGAGACAGGCTGGGAAGGACAAAGAAGGAGAGTAATGTCAGTCCCAAGGGCAGACTCACCGCCATCCATTCCCAGTAGAGTAGACCAGATCTGAACATGAAGCAGACATAATGGGTTGCCAATGATCTCACCTGTCTTGAAGACTAAAGGCTGAGATTTCCTCAGGGGAGGTGAAGACTAGGGACATGAGGCTTAGGAGAGGTTCTTCAGGCTGCTTAAGAAAGAACACGAGTAAAGCAATGACAGGTAAGGTTGTAAGGAGCTTGGGGTGATATTGTACAAAGCCTTTCTTCCCAAACCCTAATTTAAGTTTTCAATATCTTTGCCTGAATTCTAGTGGAGGGGAGAGTATGCTATAGTCTAGGACGTTTTGACTAGGACTTACAAAGCCTGGATCAGAGTCTTAGCTCTGCCACTAGCTTTTTGTGTCATAACCTGAGAATATTTGGTTCCTCATATATGTGTATTTGGAAATACGTAAGTGAAAATTAGGACAGATGTCTAACATCCTAGCTAACATTTTAGCTGCACAGTTGAATGGTAGGGAAATGATTTATAGAATATTGCTAAAATGGCAGCGTACCCATCTTCCTCTCCACCCCTCAATTCTCCTGCAAAAAAGAAAAAAAAACCTTTGGAAGAAGTATATGTGTTACACCTATCCTTGTCCATCCTCAGCTTCTGAGCATGGTTCACCAAGTTGAGAAGCTACAAAAGGGAAAGAGGCACCTCACACCAGTCACAATGGCCATCATCAAAAAATCTACAAACAATAAGTGCTGGAGAGAATATGGAGAAAAGAGAACCCTCTTGCACTGTTGGTGGGAATGTAAATTGATACAGCCACTATGGAGAACAGTGTGTGTGTGTGTTAGTCGCTCAGTTGTGCCTGACGCTTTACAACCCCATGGACTGTAGCCCGCCAGGCTGCTCTGTCCATGGGATTTTCCAGGCAAGAATACTGGAGTGGGTTGCCATTTCCTTCTCCAAGAACAGTATGGAGATTCCTTAAAACAAAACTAGGAATAAAACTACCATATGATCCAGCAATCCCTCTAGTGGGCACCCTGGGAAAACCATACTTGAAAATGATGCATGTACCCCACTGTTCATAGCGGTGCTGTTTACAATAGCTAGGACATGGAAGCAACCTAGATGTACATCAACAGATGAATGGATAAAGGAGATATGGTACATATATACAATGGAATATTACTCAGCCATAAAAAGAACACATTTGAGTCAGTTCCAGTGAAGTGGAAGAACCTTGAACCTTGAACAGAGTGAAGTAAGTCAGAAAGAGAAAAACAAATATCATATATTAATGCATATATATGGAATCTAGAAAAATGGTGTTGCAGGGAAGGAATGGAGACTCAGATATAGAGAATGGACTTGTGGACACAGTAGGGGAAGGAGAAGGTGAGACTAATGGAGAAAATAGCATCAACATATATACAGTACCATGTGTAAAATAGATAGCTGGTGAGAAGTTACTATGTAGCACAGGGAGCCTAGTCTTACAGTCTGTGATGACCTGGAAGGATGGGATGAGGGAAGGGAGTGAGGCTAGGGAGGGAGGGCATGTATGTATAATTATGGCTGATTTGCATTGTTGTACAGCAGGAACCAAAACAACATTGTAATTTCCCCCCCAATTAAAAATAAATTTTAAAAAGCAAATTAATTTATAAAAGACACACACACCTAAAAAGAGAAAGAGATAGTTCAGGAAATCTTGCCATTAAATGTTAGAGAGAAGGCCTCACTTCACAGATGCAATCTCATTTTATTTGCATGCAATTCCAGTATTGGAAAACACTTAGCTTAGATGCATTCACCCTTCCCAAACTGATTTGTTACATGATGCAAATGTGAATGGAATTTTTCCATTCTCTTATTTTCTGCATGAATTGAGCAAAATTCCACATTTCTTTCATTAAATAGTAGTATAATAATAAATCCACACTTGCCTAGTGCTTTACAGTTTACAAAGCAGTTTTCAAATGAAGATTTGGTCCCCATAGCAATCCAGTGGTGTTAGTCAGGGAAAGTAGTGTTGTTTCCAGTTTAGAGATAAGAAAATAACTGCAGGGAAGGAGAAAGGACTTGTAGAGAACTCTTATCTCGTGAGTTTGGTCTTCTGGTGCTTGTTGTAGCTCTTATGGTCATACCTGCTGCTATCTATACAGGATTGCAAGGTGGGCATCTGTACTCTCATTTCTCTTTGGAGCCACCCTTCCACACATCTCCCAAGCCTAGGGCCTTACTCATCACCTCCTAATATCTTCTCAGCTCTTCCTCTCCAGGTCTACTCTCCCAGAGTAGAGTCTGTTGTGTTGGGGGAATGTTCTCCTCTTTTCCCTCAGCAACCCACTTTCATCCCATTCTCTCAAGGCTTTGCTAAATGACTGGCTAGATCTGATAGACCAAGTCATTTCAGGGTGTTCATATCTACAAATAACATCATTTATTACCACTTTCTGGAAAGTTTTACTTTCTAATCAAAGGCTTTATTTTCTTAGTACAAAGGAAAGCATTGTAGAGCAAAGTCAAGAGGGGCAATATAACCAAATAAAGAAGACAAAGATTAGAGGAGTTGGTTACATACACATTACTATCCACTGCTTAATATAGATGCTGCTAAGTTACTTCAGTCGTGTCCGACTCTGTGCTATCCCATAGATGGCAGCCCCCATTCCTGGGATTCTTCATTCCTAGGAGCCCCCAGGCTCCCCCATTCCTGGGATTCTCCAGGCAAAAACACTGGAGTGGGTTGCCATTTCTTTCTCCAATGCGTGAAAGTGAAAAGTGAAAGTGAAGTCTCTCAGTCGTGTCCGACTCTTAGTGACCCCATGGACTGCAGCCTACCAGGTTCCTCCATCCATGGGATTTTCCAGGCAAGGGTACTGGAGTGGGGTGCCATTTCCTTCTCTGATATAGATAGATTATTAATATAGATAGATTAATGCTATTCCTTAGTTAAATATAATCATAGCCAATCTACTCTTCCTTCTCATGTTTCCGCATTATTACTATGGAAACAGAAGAGAAGACCAAATGTCAAGTAATTTGGCCAAGATTATTCCAGGAGTTTCTTATTTACAGTCAGCAGGGTGGGTTGAATGTCTACCATATGTATAGTCTTTTCTAGAAATCTAGAGGATTTCATGGAAAGAGAGGAAATGATATACTGGAGACTCACAGGGTGGAAAAATATAGTTTACCTCTGGATGGAAGGAGTTATTGTTCAGTCACTAAGTTGTGTCCAACTCTTTGCAACCACATAAACTGCAGCACACCAGACTTCCTTGTCCTTCACTATCTCCCAGAGTTTGCTCAAACTCATGTCCATTGAGTTGATGATGCCATCCAACCATCTTATCCTCTGTTACCCACTTCTCCTCTTGCTCTCAATCCTTCCTAGCATCAGGGTCTTTTCCAAGAAGCAAGTCATATTGCAAAGGGCAAGCGAATAAGGATGAGTGGATTTTGTGGCCATTTTTCAATGTTTTTTCTGGGACCTCATGAATTTAATTGACCTATTGAGCAGAGTTCTTTCTTAGGACTTCAGACTGGACTTTGGTAAAGAGAAGGTGATCAGTGGGGCTTACTCTCTGATGATTGGATTACTCAGGGATGTCTCAGAACAAAGAGGGGCTTTTATGCCCTGTGGACCATCCTGACTACATATATTCTGCCTTCCTCCCTTTTACTATAAATGAACCAACTGTGTTTATAGTTAAGGCCAACTCATCCACTTGTTCCCTGGAGGACATCACCTCACACCTATTCAAGGATATCTGTCCAGCAAACTGCATTTTCAAGCCCAGCAGCTCTATTGCTGTCCTCATCCAAGCAGAACCATTGAACCGACTCTCAGCCTGATCCCTGTACCAGCCTTACAAGTGTTCTGTCTGCTTCCACCCTGTCCTTCCTCACCTCTTCAGCTTATTCTCAACAGAGCAGTCAGATCGTGTCGTGCCGTCCTTCCACTGAGAACCCTCCAGCGCTCACATGTCATTCAAAGCAGAAGCCAGAGTTCAAGTCATGGTCTACAAGGGCAGCCATGATCCGGTCCTGGTTTATTTCCTCTACCTTGTCGCCTCTTATGCTCACTTGGTTCCCTGTACTTTATTATTTAAAAAACATATATATCTCGGGACTTCCTCGGTGGTATGGTGGGTAGGAATCTGCCTGCCCCCAGTGCGGGTAATACAGGTTCGATCCCTAGTCTGGGAGGACCTCACGTGCCTCAGAGCAACTAGGCCCATGCACCACAACTACTGATCTCTCAAGCAGCAACTATTGAAGCCCGCACACCTGGAGCCTGTGCTCCGCAAGAAGAGAAACCACCTCAATGAGAAGCCCAAGCACCACAACAAAGAGCGGGCCCTGCTCACCACAACTAGAGAAAGTCCACAGGCAGCAACGAAGACCCAGCTCAGCCCCCCAAAACCTTATTTTTGGCTGCATCTGGTCTTAGTTGCAGCACAAACCCGAGGCATGTGGGATCTTAGTCCCCAGACCAGGGATTGAACCTGTATTCCTGGCACTGGAAAGCAGATTCTTAATCACTGGCCCCCAGGGAAGTTCCTGTTCCCAGTCGTTTATTCTGCTCTTTGCTTTTGCCAACACACTGCCATCCTTGGACTCTCAAGTTGCTTTCTCTGCAGTGTCACACAGATATTCATAGAGCTTGCTCCCTGCTTTCTTTCCTTCGGTGCCTGCTCCTTGTCATCTTCTCAGTGAAGCGCTAATGATCCTTTGTACAGAACATGTTTGTAGAAATCGTCCCATAGAGTTTTCATGGCAAATTTATTAGATATTATTTCCAGCATTTTGTTGACGAATAAACTGAGCCTCAGAGAGATTAAACCATCTATCAAACTGGGGATTCCCTAGCAGTCTAGTGGTTAGGACTTGGTGCTTTCTGGAGGGACCTGTGGTCCATCTCTGGTCGGGGAACTAAGATCCCACAAGCCCCTCAGTGCAGCCGGAAAAGCAAAAACACAAACAAAACAAGTCTATCAAACCCTAGCCTTCAGTTGCCCAATGCATATCCCTCCTGCCTCTATAAGTGTAACTGTACTTTACTTGGAACATTTTCCTATTTTGCTCTGAAGTCATCTTCATTGAACTAACTCATCTTTACCACATCTCATTAAATATACATGTGCCTCAAGACTCCCTGCTACGTGGGGTTTTCAATGCATATTCCCTACACCTCTATCCACTCAAAAACTTTTGCATAGACTAGGCTTTCCTTAAAAATAAAAAACAAAAACAGGCCTATCCTCAAGACTTCAAATTCAGCACATTCTGAAAATGTTTCTGATCAGGTCTCTCTGGATAAGGACCCTCCCCCCCCCATTAAAGAGATGGCCCATATGCAGAAACATGTGAAATGAATTTGCAATGGCATGGATTTGAGCAAACTCCAGGAGATAGTGAAGGACAGGGTAGCCTGGAGTGCCGCAATCCATGGGGTTGCAGTCAGACAGAACTGGGTGACTGAACAACAACAGGTACGCAAAAGCAGGAGAGCCTCTTGCAGGCTGCCCGGTAAATGCAGTCCCAGCTTGCTAAGAGTTTTAAAACTAAACCAATGAAATTTATTTTATCTCAATATGTTAAACTTTATCATAGTGCCTCTAGTTTTTAAGCTCTATGTCTAAAAATTAAATTTGTTCCCTTATAAGTCAGATATCTCGTTTCACTCTTAATTAATTGGTCAGTCTCATTTTAAGCTCTAATAAAACTTTCCTCTGCTTTTAGAAAGAACTGTTTGCCTATAGAAGAACAGATCGACCATTCACAGTGGACCAATTTTTTAAATGACAGTGTATATTATTTCATTTTCAGGGGCTCTGTTTTTATCATTAATGAGGAGGAAGCCTCAGGAGGGGTTAAAAGTTCTAATATAAAAATCCTTGATGCTCATCTCACTTTTGAACCTTCTGTATAAGATGTAAACTGTCTTACCAAAGAGTCTTTTGTATTCGTTAACAGCTTTAGCACCAGAAAAAAAATATGTTTTTAGTTGAGCAGGCCTTACTTTCATGTAACTTTTGGAGCTGGTCAGAATCTATTTTCTCTTCCACAGAAATCTATTTTCTCATCCTTCAACTATTTGAAGACAGATGTGTCAGTGCCCAAGCTAAGCACCCCCGGCCATCCCACTTTGTTCTTACCAGACTTTGCCCCAGACGCTCTCCATCTTGCCTTCCGCTGCACATGCAAACTTCCTTTTGTACACTGTGACACCTCGAACTGATCCTCATAGTCCAGATTTGTTCTGAGCAGCACAGAGGAACTGTTCCTCCTTTGTTCTGCAGTTACATCTGTTAACACAGCCCACATTTGCACTTGCTTTGTTGGCAGCCACATCCCACTTTTGATTCATTATGAATTTTCAGTCTGATGGACTTACCGTCTTTAATGGGCCAAAGTTTCTAGGGGGCAGGAACTACAGGTCCAGACCTCGGGGTGGTATGCAAGGCTCCCTCCAATCTGAACCCCCTGCAGTGTTTTTCACTTCTACCACTCTGCATTTATTTTTCTGTTTTGTTTTGTATGTTTTTTGATATAGAAATAACTTACATTTAAAAATTCTCTCCCTTTAAGAAATTTGAACATGTTTGTTACTACTCTCTTCTAATTTTTTGGATGTCTTTTCTCATGTGATTCTTTTATATATTTTTGTGTGTGGTGTGAGATTTTGTTGTTTCCTTTTTCATTGGAGTATAATTGCTTCACAATGTTGTATTAGTTTCCCCCTCCCGATTTTTAACTGTGTCTCTTCTGCATGAAGTATCGCCCCAGTCCCACGGTCAGCTCACCGTTCTCCTCCTTGTCACTCTACCCTCCACCACGCCTCAGAATTACCTACATTTCCCATAAAACACAGATACGCTTACATCTCTCCATGGCTTTGAAACATATGACCCCCTCCTATCGTGCAGTGCATATAGAGGTCCCCACAACATGGGTCCAATCTCCCTTTCTGGCCTCAAGTCTCACCATCCCTGTCTTCCTCTCTCCCCAGCTCAGCCAGGAATAACTGCCCCTCCTCTGGGAACAGAGCACATTGCTAGTATGTCAGTCACTAGTCTGGTTTCATGACACTTAGGAGTATGCATTCCCTGCTAGACTATAAATGCCTTTGGGGCGTGGCGAGTGTTTTGTGCAACTTTGTATCTCAGCATCAGGCCTGTCATGGGGTAGATTTCAGCAGACGCTGGTTCAGTGAAGGGGTGCATGCAGTCAATGGGTGGATGCAGAGGTACCCTGTTTCCCACCTACATGCTGAGTCTTTGAGGGCAGGGCCAGATATGTGCTGCCCACATCCCCACTGTTTCCGGTGAGCCTCTCGGTCAATGCCAGCTCATCCCTGCCGGTCGGGAGAGTGGGTACTTGGGGAGCTACTTACATGTGCATGCTATTTTCCAGTATGTCTCACGATTCTTCCTTCTCTGTCTCTCCTTCCTCCCTCCTTGCTCTCCCTTCCCCCTGCCCAACACCTCCTGTCCCCTCCCTGTCTCCTGCCCCCTCTCCAGTCGGCGTCTGCTTCCCCGTGTGTGTGGAAGTGCCCTCGGAGACCGAGGCGGTTCAGGGCAACCCCATGAAGCTGCGCTGCATCTCCTGCATGAAGAGGGAGGAGGTGGAGGCCACCACGGTGGTGGAATGGTTCTACAGGCCCGAGGGCGGTAAAGATTTCCTTGTATGTCTGACTGCTGACTCTGGCCTTTCCTTTGCTGGCCTCTGCCGTTTTGTGCCTGGCTCCCGACAGTCTAGGGGAATGACGATCTGACAAACACTGGCTCTTTCTTTCCAAAGAGAGACAGCTCCTCTGCAGATAACTGACAGCCTTAGTGTAGCCCAGCCTCTGGGAACGGGAGGGAGCCTGGCCAGCTCGGAGCACTCCTGGTTATAAACAGAATAAGGGGGGGAAAGATATAAATAGTATTTAGAGCCCACTGTGCATCAGCCATCCCACTAGACAGGTGTTTTCATTTAATCTCTGCATCATCCTACTGGATATGGATTAAATGAGTAGAAAAACTAAAGGACTTCCCTGGTGGTCTGGTGGTTAATCCACCTGCCAATCCCTGGTCTGGGAAAACCCCACATGCTGCAGGGCAGCTCGGCCTGTGCACCACATCTCCTGAAGCCCTCGAGCCCTAGAGCCTGTGCGCTACAACAAGAGACGCCACTGCAGTGAGAAGCCGTCTCCGCAAAGAAGAGGAGCCCCCACGTGCTGCAACTAGAGAAGGCCTCTGTGTAGCAACCAAGACCCAACACAGCCAGAAATAATAAATTTATCCTAAAAATTAAAGTAACACTGTTATTAAGTGGAATGACATAGGTTTAACTCATTTCAGTCTCACCATCTCTTCATCTCACCCCTGCAGTAAGAATGTCAGGGGTGATCGAGGCTGATGGTCAGCTGGTACACGTACACCAGTGGGTGAAGTGTTTGAGTCATCCTGTAGTGGTTACCTGTGCTAACCCGCCCTAGTGGCTTCATCACCATCCTTCCCACGAGGAACCTCTGACCTCCTTGTGATCTGGGAACTGAGGGGTCAGCCATGACCAATGTTAGTCTGATTGGTTGGTGCCAGTGCCAAAATGGTGGTTATATAATCTGAGTACCAACTTGGGGATGACAGTTATTCACACTTTCATTCTCTCTGGGGCCAGGCTGCGTGGGATTGATTCTTGACTCCACAACTTATTAACTTGTGTCCTTGGGCAAATTGCTTAACCTCTCTGTGCCTCACTTTCCTCATGTCTAAAATGGGGATATAAACTATAGCTACTTCATAGACTTGTTACCAGGACTCTTGAGCTATAATTTTTATTTCATTTTTGGCTGTACCATGTGGCATTTGGGATCTTAATTCCTTGAAAGTGAAAGTTGTTCAGTCGTGTCCAACTCTTTGCAACTCCATGGACTATACAGTCCATTGAATTCTCCAGGCTAGATTACTGGAGTGGGTAGCTTTTCCCTTCTCCAGGGGATCTTCCCAACCCAGGGATTGAACCCAGGTCTCCTGCATTGCAGGCAGATTCTTTATCAGCTGAGCTGCAAGGCTTAATTCTCTGACCAGAGGTCAAAATCATTCCCCCTGCAGTGAAAGCGCTGAGTCTTAACTACTGGACCACCAAGGAAGTCCCGTAAGCTACAATTTTTAACATGTTTAGAATAGTTCTGATATAGGAAACACTGTATAAGTGTTTGATTGAGAACACACACAAGCACACATACACATGTGCACATACGCTCTTTGGGATACTATGTACTGTAGCCCGACAGGCTCCTCTATCCACGGGATTCTCCAGGCAAGAACACTGGAGTGGGCTGCCATTTCCTCCTCCAGGGGATCTTTCCAATCCAGGATTGAACCCCTGTCTCATGTGTCTCCTGCATTGGCTGGTGGATTCTTTACTGCTGAGCTACCTGGAAAGCCCAATACACATGCACACATACACACAAATGGGGCAACTAATCAAAGAAGTTTAGTTAGTAAAGAGAGCTTAGATATGAAACAGGTTGTCTGAGAGCAGATACAAAGCCCTTTTTACTGTACTATACTCATCTTACTGTACTCATCTTCCTGGATGCAAGTTTTTTCTCCACAAAGACCTAGTGGAGACAACATTAGGATGAAATTGAATTTTACTTGCTTTTGTCTCTAGCTCTCCTAAAGCTGGACTCATTTCTAATTCTAGGCTGGACATGTCATTCTGAAGTGGCTTTGCTCCAATCAGGTGCCAGGCCTGGGACAATAGCCTTCCCAGTGCCCAGCTCAGGGCTGACCTTGACCAAGGCTAATGTCCAGGAGCTAGTGTTACAGGAGCCTGGACATCTTAATCAGTGGAGAGGTCCCCATGAACCTCAGGCCTGGTTATATGCCAGCCATCTGCTCTGCTTCCAGGCCTGCCCAAAGTAAAAAGATGGCTCAGATAGAAGAAAAGAAGCTTTAAAAAACTTGTGCTGGAAATACAGAGTAATGGTAATAGAAATTTTTGTGAGGATGAAAACATTCCATAGTCATGCTGTTCAACTCAGTAGCCACCAGGTACAGGTGGCCCTGAACATTTGACACGGGGCTAGTGCAACTGAAAAAACAGAATTTTACATTTTATTTAATTCCTAGTAATTTGAATTTTAATGTAAGTAGCCACGTGTAGCCAGTAGAGATTAGATGAACTGCATAGCTGTAGAGGGGGAAAAAAATAAGTATGTCAGAAGGTGGAAGTGTTGGAGAAAAGAAACAGAGATCAGATCTAACTCCACCCAGAGTGGAAGAGCTGATGCGTGCACATCACTGGCAGCTCTCTGCTCATCTGGGCCACTCGAGCAGCCTGGGTCCCCTTCTTGTGACCTGGCTACGACTGTCCATGTCCCCTCAATGGGGATCAACTGTGAGAGTCACATTTGGAGGCTGGAGCTCTCAGCTCCTTCCTGACAGATGAAGCTGCCTCTCTGCCTCCATCTCTCTCTGGCAGCCCCACGGCACATCTTTCTCTCTTGTTCTTTTTTTCCCATATCCTTCCAGCCCTTCCTTTCTCTCAGTCTCCTGTATCTGTCACTCATCTTCCTCCGTTCTCTTTCTTTCCACCCCCTTTCCTGCCTACCCCTTCCTTCCACGTCCATGTGCCCTGACCCCCCCCTTTGCCCGCCCTGCCTTTGCTCTCTTCCCTGCTCCCCTCTGAGCCTCCACCCTGCTCCCACATTTTGGGAGCTCCTGGTAACATCATCCCCTTCCCCGTGTCCATGCACTCTCTAGTCCTTTTCTCTGCCCTGTCCTCACCTCTCCCCGTCTTCTCTCATGGCCCTCCTCCACTGCTTCTCCACGGACAGATCTACGAGTATCGGAACGGCCACCAGGAGGTGGAGAGCCCCTTCCAGGGGCGCCTGCAGTGGAACGGGAGCAAAGACTTGCAGGACGTGTCCATCACTGTGCTCAACGTCACCCTGAACGACTCCGGCCTCTACACCTGCAACGTGTCCCGGGAGTTTGAGTTCGAGGCACATCGCCCCTTCGTGAAGACCACCCGGCTGATCCCCCTGCGTGTTACCGAGGAGGGTAAGACTAGGGCACAGGCTGTCTCAGGGGAGGGAAGACAGTGGGTCTCCACACAAATGAGCCCCTTGAAGAATGCAAACCTCCATTTATTTGGAGTGGTGAGATCTGAGGTTGCCACCATTGGCATGTCTTTCTGGAGTGGCCAGCTTCTGGCAAGCTGCCCGAGAGCTTGCCTCTTTCTGTGTGTCTTTCCTCAAAGCAGAAAGGCTTGGAGATGATAATGCAGGAGTCTTTACCTGGTCCATGGACTTGCACCCTCAGAGAAAAAGGACAGCCTCCGTGAAGCCTGAAACTGCCAAGTCAGCTCCAGCTTCTCTGGCCTGTGTTGAATCTCTGATTCCATGGGCTCAGAGAAATTTCCTGAGGTTCCCTAGAGGTCATCTACCCTCCTATCTGTGATCCATACGAACCTCTAAACAGGTGGTGCTCAAACTTCAGCCAGCCTCAGATTTCCCTGCAAGACTTCTTAAATCCAACCTTTCTGATTCCATACACAGAGCCTGAGAATTTACGTGACTAACAAATTGTCAGGTGATACTGATGCTGCCGGGGACCACACTTTGAGAAGCGGTGCTCCAAACCAAAGTCTGACAGTCTTTGTCATCTGTCTCCCTCCACAGTAACCATATGAGCAACCCCTTCTCCATGTGTGGTGTCCTCACTTCATGTTCAACTGGGAGAAAGGGAAAGGTGTTTAGCTCTCTAGTCTTTGCATTTTTTTCAGATTTCCCCCAGGTGGTATCTTGTTAGGCTGGGAAGTCCTTTCATCATTCTAACTCAAATGTTTGTTGCGACTGAGCCCGGAATCGTGAAGGTGAACTTAGAACTGTTTCTGTTCTGCTGTTAATAGGCCCGTTTGGGGCACCATGGCGCCTCGCCCCTTGTAAATTTTCCTTCAGGTGTCAGAAGAGAGGTATATACATTTCCCTCTGTGTTTTGTCACCCAGGCAAAATGATGATGCCATTGTACCTAGCTTTTCCTAGACCATCTATTTCCAGCATTTTCTCAGCGCTTTGGCTGCCCCCCAAGATGCAGGATGGTGAACAGATGAAAGCTGTGAGGCAGGAGGGGTAGGAGAGGTCACATTAAAGCCAGGCTCTTCCTAGAAAAGGAGGCCAGGAACCCTGACTTCCAGGCCGCAAGCGTATCATGTTATGGTGATAAAATCCATGAAGCAAAAGAGAGTGAACTGCAAGAGTGAGCGATGTCATGATTTAGTCATGATTTAGGCTAGGCTAAAGCAGAAGGTAGGTCAATCCTGGTGGGGCAGAGATGCTCAGGGCACTTGGCTCAGACCTGATGAACCACTTCCCCTCTGCAAGCCCATCTCTTCTGTGTGCGTGGAAGGGCTTGGGCTGAGACCTCCCTAGGGGACCCTCTTCTGTTCACACACCTGTGCTCCCTGGGGGAAGGGAGCCTGGCGCCCTCTGCTGTTCACCGTCGGGACTGTCGGCTGGTGGCTGCCAGATGCTTGGAAGCTGTCTCTGCCTCTACCTCCTGTTCTCAAAGGTTTTGCCTCCAGAGTGGTGCAGCCAGTGGAAAGTGTGGCGAAGTGGAGCCAGCCCGCCTGCCGGGCACCAGAGCCAGGTTTGGGTAGGAAGAGAAGCAGAGCAAGTTTGTTATCAGAGCCAGCGAGCCCCTCGGGCTCTCTTAGGGCTGGAAGGAAGCTTGGCTTTCTTTCAATGCAGGGCTTCTAGCCAAAGAACAAGCATCAAAACCCCCTAGGGGGCTTTCCTTCTGTGTAGACAGCTCCGCACCACTGCTGCGTGTGCGTGTGAGTTCAGCTGGTCAGGGTGCCGTCTGGCGTATGTGAGTTGGAATGACTACCCCGGTGATTGGAGGGTGCAGCTGTGGGCCCCCATTTTGTGGCTGGGGGACAGAGCTCTGAAGAGGAAGGCTTGCCTGCACATGAAGGACCTTAGCGCCAGAAGCAGGACTGCAGTCCAGGTCTTTGCCTCCATTTGCTGTATTTCCACTGTGTCTTTCCACCCCCAGCACCATCCCATTCTCTGACACTTTTGCTTTCTTCCCCACCCACTGTGGCCCCTTGGCAGCCCCCTCCACCCCTCCCCCAGATATTCGCTGCTCTCATGCTTACCCTGCTCCACCATGCTACACCCCCATGTCTGCTTCACCCCTGTGGCCCCATACCCTCTCCCTTCTCTCTGCTCAAGCTGGACTGACCCCCATCTCCCAGCTCTAAGATAGAAATTTTTCTCTTCACCTAAAGGCTAATGAAGCTACTAAGGACAGCTTCCTACAGTACAACTGCTGGCTATTGCATTTTTAAAAATTATGTATTTTTCACACAGACTCAGAGGCCACACAAAATGTGGGACCTTAGTTTCCCGACCAGGATCCAAACCTGCATCCTCTGCCTTAGAAAGCAGATTCTTCACCACTGGACCACCAGGGAAGTCCCTGATTTCTGCACTTAAACAGAGACAGGGGACTTCCCTGGTGGTCCAGTGGTGAAGAATCTGCCTGCCAATGCAGGGGACACAGGTTCCATCCTTGAACTGGGAACGTTCCACATGCCGAGGAGCAACTAAGCCTGTGCACCAACAACAACCGAGCCCACGCTCTAGAACACTCGAGTCACAACTACTGAGTCCGAGTGCTTCAACTCCTGAAGCCTGTGCACCCTAGAGCCCATGCTATGCAAGAGAAACCACAACAAGAAGCCTATGCACTGCAACTGAAGAGTAGTGAAGAGTAGCTCTCAGTTCAGTTCAGTCGCTCAGTCGTGTCCGACTCTCTGCGATCCCATGGACTGGAGCACGCCAGGCCTCCCTGTCCATCACCAATTCCCAGAGCTTACTCAAACTCATGTCCTTTGAGTCAGTGATGCCATCCAACCATCTCATCCTCTGTTGTCCCCTTCTCCCACCTTCAATCTTTCCCAGCATCAGGGTCTTTTTCAGTGAGTCAGTTCTTTGCATCAAGTGGCCAAACTATTGGAGCTTCAGTTTCAGCATCAGTCCTTCCAATGGATATTCAGGACTGATTTCCTTTAGGATGGACTGGTTGGATCTCCTTGCAGTCCAAGGGACTCTCAAGAGTCTTCTCCAACACCACAGTTCAAAAGCACCAATTTTTCAGTGCTCAGCTTTCTTTATAGTCCAACTCTCACATCCATACATGACTACTGGAAAAATCATAGCTTTGACTAGACGGACCTTTGTTGGCAAAGTAATGTCCCTGCTTATGTTTTCTAGGTTGGTCATAGCTTTTCTTCCAAGGTGCAAGCGTCTTTTAATTTCATGGCTGCAGTTACCATCTGCAGTGATTTTGGAGGCCCCCCCCCAAAAAAAAGTCTCTCACTGTTTCCACTGTTTCCCCATCTATTTGCCATGAAGTGGTGGGACCAGATGCCATGATCTTAGTTTTCTGAATGTTGAATTTTAAGCCAACTTTTTCACTATCCTGTTTCACTTTCATCAAGAGTAGCCCTGGCTTGCCGCAACTAGAGAAAGCCCATTCGCAGCAAGGAAGACCCAGCGCAGCCAAGAAAGAGAGAGAGAGATCGGGTACTTTAAGTTGAGCACATTGCAAATCAGGCTGCAGCCAGCCCATGAGAGGACATTTGATGTGTATGGCATTCTCCTGTGCCTCCAGCTCCAGTTAGAAAACCTGAATGCTCCTATAACACTTGGACGGCTTCTCTGAGCTGAAGGTCATGGCTGTGGCTATGCTGTGCTTTAAACGCGCAAGGCCTTGGGGATGACTTGGGTCCTATGAATAACCGAGGACTATGAATCTAATTTGCTGCCAAGAGCTAGCAAAGGGAGATCTGAGTGCAGCCATCCTTCCCACTAGGAAGGAATACATATCAGGACATTTGGCGTGTATCATGTTTTATTTATTTTTTAATTAAAAAAAATTTTAGACTGTGGCTCACAATTGTGGAATCTTAGTTCCCTGATCAGGAATTGAATGCCAGGCATTGAAAAGGCTGAGTCTTAACTGAACCACCAGAGAACCCCCGATCATGTTTTAATTGTCATTTTTGTTGGTTAGGAAACATGGAGGATCAATATTTGTTTATATTCTTTCATTCAACAGATACTTATTGAATAATTCAAGTATTCCAGGATTAGACAACAGGCTGATAATTCAGAAATAAATATATTCTTAATAAGCACACAGTCAGTACAGAAGAGCAATAAATACATCACAAAACAACCTGGGAAGAGTTGTAATGGATGGAAAAGTGCCTGGAGAAGGACATGAGTGATAATTCTGCACGAGAAGTTGAGGAAGGCTTCACAGAGGTGGTGGCTTCTGTGGAGCCTAGAAGAATCTTTGGAAGATTGAAAAACAGGAGACGATGTTGGCACAGAGGTAGCAGGGCTTGAGATACAATCTAGGAAGAGGGAAGAGGAAGAAGAAATGTTCACAGATTCCAGAAGACCACAGTGTGCATGAGTAGAGAGGTTTTTCTGGCTAAGAAAATGGAAATGAGGCAAGGAAGGCTTCATGGTGAGTGGCCTTGAGCGCCCCTTGAGCGTTAATCGAGTCAGATCTCTGTCCTGAGGGAGATGTAGAACGCTGAACAGTTTTCAACAGGGATACAGTGGAATCCGATCTGTGTTCTGAGATCTTCCCCGGTGGTCCAGTGGCTAAGACTCCACACTTCCAATGCAGGGGGCCTGGAGTCTGATCCTTAGTCAGGGAACAAGATCCCACATGCTACAATGAAGACTGAAGAGCTCACATGTTGCAACTAAGACCCAGCACAGCCATGTAAATAAATAAGCATAAAAAAAATTAATAATCTGTGTTCAGGAAGTAGAACTCTGAGGACAGCCTGGTTAATACACAGAATTCTCCAATCCTCATTTCTATTTGGATTTGGGATGACCTGGAAAGGAAGCTGAGCTGGAGGTGGCCTTGTTTCTAATCCAGACTTGCAGAGAGCATGGCCAGACTTGCAGACTTGGGTTGATGGCACTGGCCTTGTCCCCGTTTTCTGATGCCCTGTGTCTCAGGGTAAGACACTCTGCCACCCCGAGTTCAGAGGACAGAGTCCGTAGACCTAGAACATGTGCCTCACGCCTGTGCAGACTTTCACATCACCCAAGATCTTATTTTTAAAAATTTTATTTGTTTACTTATTTTTGGCTGTGCTGGGTCTTTGTTGCTGTGGGCTTTTCTCTAGTTGTGGTGAGCTGGGGCTACTCTCTAGTTGCAGTGCACAGGCTTCTCTTTGCAGTGGCTTTTCTTGTTGTGGAGCACAAGCTTTAGGGTACACGGGCTTCAGTGGTTGTGGCACATGGGCTCATAGTTGCAGCTCCCGGGCTCTAGAGCACAGGCTCAATACTTGTGGAACACACGTTTAGTTGGTCCGAGGCATGTGGGATCTTCCCGGACCAGGGATCGAACCCGTGTCTCCTGCACTGGCAGGCGTATTCTTTACCACTGAACCACTAGGGAAACCCTTCCATCTTACAGATATTCTTAAATACATTAGATGATGTATGGTGTGAATTCTTATCCTTACTTTACAAATTGAGCAGCTGAGTCTTAAATGACTATTTAAGTCTTAAATGACTATGCACACACCAAGAAGGAGGAAAATGGGGACTCAGCTGTGTGGTGTATCTCATCCAGTTCCAGGATTCCTTCCACTGCTCTGCGACTTCTTCCCCAACCCATCCTTCTTCTCCCTCATCTCTCCCTCCAGAGCATCTGAAGAAAGTTAGTGAGAAAGCGGACAGACACAGGAGCTGGAGGATATTAAACCTCTTTGATAACTTCTCAAGTTCCTTTAGACCATTGCTTATTTAAGACGCACCTAAAAATAGGCCTCACACATCTCGAAACTCAGTGACAGCTCTGGATTTGTTGGACTGCGTATTCTGAGTCTCATTCTCCCCCTTGCAGCTGGAGAGGACTTCACCTCTGTGGTCTCAGAGATCATGATGTACATCCTCCTGGTCTTCCTCACTCTGTGGCTGCTCATTGAGATGATATATTGCTACAGGAAGGTCTCGAAGGCCGAAGAGGCGGCCCAAGAAAATGCGTAAGTCCAAAGATGCCAAAATAGGGATTGCCTGCACCTTCAGAGTGCTTGCTGTCACGGGTGAGGTGGTGAGCGATTTACACAGTCCTCCACTTTCCCTCACAACAACATTTAAGGTAGGCAGCATGCATATACCCATTTTACAGATGTGAAAGTTGAGCCTGAGACCGTTTGCCCCAGACCATTTTAAGAAGCAAAGCAAAGTTTGACTTCATGCCTTTCACTCTTAGCCACCAGGTAAAGCCCATCAGCTGCCACTACAATCCCATAAAACTGCATTTTTATGACCATTTTCTAGATGCTGAAGCAGCTCATAGAGCCTAAGTGGTTTGCTGAGGCTGCACCTCAGCTTGAGGTGGAGAGGAGAGGCTGGAATTTGAACCGAAGCCTGTTTAATGTCCATGCTCTTCCCATCACATTCAGCTGTTTGCTGTAAACCACAGAGCTCATCAGGCTACCTGGGCACTGCCCTTTATTAGCTAAGGAGCTCCAAACATGTTCTTCCCCCTGGAGCTTGGCAGCGACCGAATATCCAGAGAAGGACTCTACCGCTTCAGTGTTCAGAGGGTGCCCTGGCCATTTTCACCAAGGCTCCAGTATATGGAGCAAATGACGGGATCTGAGGGGCCACGTTGGCCTGTTACTTGGAGAGAGAAAAGAGGGAAAATAAACCTCACAGATGTACATAGCTGAGGTGATAATCAAAACTCTAGGCTACTGTCACCTGGAAATGCTTGATAAGATAAAGTACCATTTTTCATGATATCTATCATCTCGGGAAAGTAAAAAATTACAATTGACCAAGATATAAAGATGGAAAGGAATTATATGCTGGGGAGGTTGTCATTCCTGGTGACCTAGGCGATCAGATTTTAGTGCTTGAGCATAGTTAAGTGGCCAAACCTGGACAGGAAGTCCCACACTTGGGCAGGAAGTGGCCACCCTTGGACAGGAGCTGCCCACAGTTGGGCTGGCACAAGAAACAGTTGGAACTGAGGTCACCAGAAGAGCTAGGATCCTCAGAGGGTTACAACTCGTGCAAAGTATTGATCACAAAATAATCAGTGCACCAGCCCAGGAAAAGCCAAGGAAACATATCTACTTGGCCTGACTCCAAGTACAATCATAAAAGATTCTTGAGAATTGACAACCACGAACCTGCTCTCACAGTGTTTGGGATTTAAATTTATACTGCCCACATGAGCCAGGAGCCTCTAAGCTGAGAAAGTCAATAAAAAAATTAGTCCCCAGACAGTGATAACTGTGTAAAAACAAATGAAAAACTATCCTGAAGGGACTCACTTTCAGTTGAGGCTTAATTGTGCTTTTCAGATAAAGCACTGCTGAATCTGATTCTACAATCTGATCCAAAACTAAAAGACATAGCAGGAAACGATTCAGCATGAGCAAGAGAAATAACAAATGGCAGGATTAAATCCCAGGAACTTCAGACACAAGAAGGATCTGGTAAAATACAGAAAATAAGTTTGTTTGAACGAATTAAAAAGAGGAGGAACCAAAGCGTAAGATTAGAATCAGTTGCTAAGAAAAAGGAACAAGCAGTTCTCTCCCAGATTAATCTGCAAATGCAGTAAAATTCCAATCACAATACCCATTGGATTGTTCAAGGAACTCGATAAGCTGATTTTAAATACAGAGGCCCAAAGGCTAAAACTAGTTTTAAGCCAGAGGATGGCCAGGTAGTAAATATTTTAGGCTTTGCAGCCTACTGAGGGTCTCTCCACCTACTGTTCTTTCATTTTGTTTGTGTACAACCCTTTGAACAAGTAACAACCATTATTAGCTCATGGGCTATAGTTTGCCTGTTTCAAAGAGAAAGTTTTGGGGAAGGATAGGACTCTTCCTATCAGATACAAAGGTTACTTAAAGAGTTGGATTGACATAGACATACAACACAGACAAACAGAAAAGGTAGAGAGCCCCCAAAAGGTTAATGCCTATCTAATAATAATAAAACCCCATTGGAACTTCCTTGGTGGTCCAGTGGCTAAGACTCCAGGCTCCCAATGCAGGGGGCCTGGGTTCTATCCTTAGTCAGGGAACTAGATCCTACATGCCACAACTAAGACCTGGTGCAGCCAAATAAATAAAGAAAATAAATAAATAAATAAATAAATATTTTTTAAAAACTGAAGGAAGAATGAACTGTCCAGTAAATGGTATAAGGATAATTCTTTATCCATATAGAAAATAAAACAGACTAAACAAAAATAAGTTGTGAGAGGATTTTAAGACAAAATAAAATGTAAAACTATAAAATTCTATTAGGGAATATAAGTGCATGCATGCTATGTTGCTTCAGTTATATCTGGCTCTTTGCGACCCCATGGACCATAGCCTGCCAGGCTCCCCTGTCTGGGATTTTCCAGGCAAGTGCAGTGGGTTGCCAAGCCCTCCTCCAGGGGTCTTCCCCACCCAAGGATCAAACTTACATCTCTCATGTCTTCCGCATTGGCAGGTGGGTTCTTTACCACTAGTGCCATCTGGGAAGCCCATAGGGGATATAAGAAAGTATCTTTATTACCTTAGAAGGTAGAATTTCTTAAAATACAAAAGACACAAATCAGAGAGGGGAAAAATGATAATTTTCATTATACTGTAAGTAAAGACAATCAACAGACTGGGAGAAGATATTTTCAGGACATGAAACCATCAAGAAAAAAAGATAAATATCTCAGAAGAAAACCTGGTAAAGCAAATGAACAGTCATATCATGGAAGTACACACCCACATTGCTTACCAACGTATGAAAAAGATGCTCAGCATCACCAAGAGTCAGGAAAGTGAAAACATCTATAAAATACAGTTTCCCATCCATCAGTTTGGCTGGTTTAATCTAATAGTACTAAGTCTTGAGAACAATGTGGGTAAATGAGAAGACTCGTGCATTGCTTGTGGAAGGAAAAAAAAAACAAAACTCTTGATTCTACTCTGCTGAAAGGGCCATTTTTCTTTTCTCTTGGGTAACACGGCCAGAAGGAGATGCAGAGACCTCCTGTTCTAGAGGCATCCTTGTTCCTAGGCCCTTGCTCCTTCCCTTTTCCTGTGTTTCCACCTCTGAATACAAAATGCACTGATTTTCTTCCCTGTCTGTCCCCCAATAGGTCTGACTACCTGGCCATCCCCTCGGAGAACAAAGAGAACTCTGCAGTCCCGGTGGAGGAATAGAAGAGGTCAACTTCAGGTGATGTATAGGGAAAGAAGTGGTAGATGAGGAGGCAGGTGCACAAGTGACCTTGTTGCGCACAAACCAAGGTGACTTGAGATTTGGTCCCTTAGATTTCTACTCTACATAGAGTCCCCATCCTCAGGGTCCATCTTAAAGTTGATGCCCAAGTCATAAAGCTCTGTGCGAGGTTCATGTCCTTCAAAAGGTGAATTGCTTTGGCCTGAGTGTTGGGGGTAACTTGAATTCCTTACACACAGTGATAGAAAGTAATTCCCCTTCTCCCTCCTATGTAAGGATCGTGGATAAGGTCAAAGTCTTTGGCTGGGATAGACTAGGCTGGCAACTCTCAGTGAGCTGTTTTATCACTGGTAGGTGGCCTGAACACTGAAGGGCTGGCTGTCCCAGGTCCAGTGATGTCAACTGCATCAGGAGGGTGCCCCAGGGACCACATCGCTTCCCTTCGTGCATCCATCCTTTCAGTTCATTCTTCATACATCCTCTCACTTCTGAACATTCACCTCTGCCTTGCTAACTCCATCAGACCTCTACACACCTCAAGACTTTGCCAGAACTGAGAAGCCAACATTTCTACATGACTCAGTCTCAGCCTGCCCTCATTTTCAAGCAAGCGGCTCCCATGCCAACCGGATCCCTCTCCTGTGCTTCATTCAGCTTAGAACATGTGCTGGAGGTGGACATGTGCATCGGCTCCCTCTGGCTAGAGCCGGCTCACTCTCCCATTGCTGCAAGTGAATAGGTGTCTTCATGGAAGGAAGCGGGAGTGATGGATTTGGGTTAAAGCAAGAGTGTCGTGAAGTGGGATTTCTTGAAGGAGACTTGGGAAGTCATACAATGTGTTCATGACCCTCCCGGGGGATAACGTGCATGTGTCTTCCCAGGTGAGCACACCAACTGAGACGGCTGGGTGGTAGTGGGCACTGGGAGTGAAATCTCAAAGTTCCTCTCAAAATTTCTGTGCATCAGTATTATCATGCATTTTATAGGAGGCACCCGAGACTCAAGACAAGACTCAACTCTAAGGGACCTTAATGGATAAACTGAAGCAGATGTAAGCCCAAGGCACTGCCCACTTCACGCTTCCCGAGATGGGATAATTTTATGAAAAGACTTCGAAATTGAATGTGGCCATGGCCTTGTTTCTTTCATAAGCACAGAACTGGGTGGATTACCTGGCGGAGGTGAATTCTGATTCAGGTAACTAGAAACTGGCCAGAAAGGCAGAGAGAAGGACGTGAGGTAGACTTTGAAGAATTCCTTTAGTGAAAAGATGTGTGAATCTGAGACATCTTCCTGAAGGACAGTGGATCTGGGAATGGTATTGAACTAAGAAATGTGTTTTTAGTCTGAGATGGATGATGGCAAGTGAGTGAAGTGATAGGAGGGGGCTAACCTGGGAATTCATAATGTCCAGGGTTTTTTTTTCCCTAGGTGTTAGGAGAACAGATGAACACTGCAGAAATCTTAGTCAATATCTCATATTTCACTTTGAATGACTGGTTACGTGTGATGTCCTTCGGCACTCTGTGATGGGAGGGGGAAGGATGCTTTACGGTGGTGGGGGTGAGAAGATGAAATGACTGGGATCTGATGAACAAGATCCCCCTTCTTGGGGGGAAGATCCTGCTCCCTTGGCCTTGGGTCTCACCTGAGAAACTCAGTTCATCTCTCCCATCCCAGGGAAGAGTACCTGAAATAAGTCCTTGTTCACATATTTGAGTGTTGTATTTGATTGAAGAAAACATGTTCCATAAATTCAAGGCCCTTCTCATTGGTAATTTCCCACACAATCCCTCTGATAGGGGACAGAATATAGATTTTCCTTACTTTATAGTGAGGAAAATAGGCCTGGATTACTGTGAGGTTTTCCTAGTCATGTGGCTGGTGCATAGAAGCTCCTTTCGACCATGCATCTAAACTGTGATTTAGAGTGCACATTTGCCTTTTTTCCTTTTCAAAAGCCCAATTCAGGTATTCCCTGAGTGAATTTTAATGAAGTTGAATGGTACCTCTTTTTTTCTTATTTATCCTTGCAAGTAATCTCTTAATTTCTCAACTCTTCTCATCTTTAATATTTTATTAGGTTATATGATTTACCAAGCATTTTAATTTGTTATCTTATTTCTCCTCCAAACTAGCTCTGTGAGGTGGATACTGCAAGTACATTAACAAATGAAGGAATGGGCTGCCTGAGGCTGACAAGCTTTACCAAATCATAAGTTCATACAGGTGGTAATGAACTAGAACCTGGAGAATGAATGAACCTGGAGAACTAGAATCCAGGTCTTCTGAGCTCCCTGCCCCACTCTCTTTCCATGGAGACCACAGCTGCTTCCTTTCCTCTCATCTCTTTACTTCCACCTAATCTTTGCCTCTCCTGCACGTCCTGAGATATTAAACATCTCTCATCCCTAGGTCCACTCAAGCGCTCCTCTACCACTTGGTTTCTTGAGTCATGCTAGAAACGTGTTTTCACAGCCTATCTCATTTTGCTTTTCCCCTTTTTGTTGGTTTGTACCCCATTATTTCTTCTGAGTTGCAGTTTAACTCCTTCCCGGGAGACTTGATCATGACTGTATATCCACAAGATACTGTGATCACCAGCCTACTTCAAATCCTCACCCACTTCCCGTTTCACCACATATCCCTACAAAGGACTCAGATAAATGTGCACTGCTCTGAAAGTTTTACCTGGCATGCTGTTCTTATTAAAGGGCTTAGAAATGTTCTCAAGGGCTATCATCACTCTAGGAACCCCATCTGTTGTGTTGGTGCTGGATATTTCCCATGACTGATCCTTAATACCGTTCACTCATGGCCAGTTAGGCTTGGTCTGGTTTTCCCTTTCCCTAACAGCCAGTGAACTTCACTGCTCCACTTGGTTGGCCCTATAAGCACCTCGCCCTACTGACTTTTACCAACAGCTCAGCCTTGCCTCACAGCCCCAACTCCTGCGTGAAAATAAGCTTGACGATCAGCCTTTATTTTCAGTCCATTTAAAAGCAGTATTCTTCAGTGTCACCACCCCTCCAAGCACACACACACCCAGATTTCTGATTCTCTGAGTTTCTGGTTTCTCCTTAAGAGGCCAAACTAGAAATGTTAGTAGGAATTTTTCAAAGCAGGAATAGGCTGGAAATATGTTATCGAGCTAAGAATGGTTAACAGAAGAGATAGCTCCTTTTCTTCCCCCCAAATTACTACATCAAAAAGGAAAATATACCCATCTCAGAATGTGATAAAAATCAGAGAGGAAAGACCATATAACTATATCTTGGCAGGAAGAAGCAAGGAGCTAGATATGTTTCAGAGTGTATCTTGGTTCCCCTTCCCTTGGGGACCTTGGGCTTCCCTGGTAGCTCAGATGGTGAAGAATCTGTGTACAATGCAGGAGACCACGGTTCAATCACTGGGTCAGGAAGATCCCCTGGAGAACATAATGGCAACCAACTCCAGTATTCTTGCCTAGAGAATTCCATGGACAGACCATGGGGTTTCAGAGCCAGACATGACTGAGCGCCTAACACACCCCTTCCCAAGTTAAGCGGAAATGGAAACATAAAAAAGCACCGTCTTCTCCCCTCCTTTTGTAAATGAAAAACCCCTCACCCTGTGAATCTTCCTAGTCACTGCAAATGTATCCACATAGTATAGTACCTGGGGCATCATTATGCCCATCATCCATTCATTCTGCATTTCAGCACCCACTCTGCGTCGAGTACCAAGAGAGACCCTGAGTGTGCCCTGTGCTGTTAGGTTTTTTTTTTTAATCATCACTCAGGCCTTTCCTAATCTCCAAAACTCCACCGTGGTAGATGATTCATGTCTAGCTCCCGCTCCCTCTCCTTGAGTCTACGGTAGGACCCAGTAGATGAGCACTTGAAGCAAGTCTGAGTTGTAGATCAGACTTAACCCCTATCATAGCCCAGCTAAGCCTCAAAGCTGGTACTATTCTTTTCTTCCCCGTTTGGCAAGAGATGTGGCTGACCGGCAGTGTGTGTGACAGGGAGGGAGGCACTGAAGGACGAGTGCTTGTAGGTTTGTGAAGCAGCCTCACACACCATCAGCAAACTTGTGCAGCCGTGGACCTGATGGAACTTGTTACGTTACCAGCTTTGCGTGGCTTTTTCTTGATTTTCCATAGCCAATCTTTCCCCGAACTCCAGAAATGTTGTTCCTGACCACTCAAGATTTCAACAACCTAATGCCTGTTGGTGGTGTTTTTTCAGTAAACTCCTTGTTCATGTCAATAAAGTGTCTCTAAACACGGCTTGCTTTGGTTTTGCTTCACTGTGTCTGCTACACACATTCTGGCTTCTACCTGCTTTCCCAGCCTGCATCAATTCTTGAACTCAAAATCACTGGATACAAGCCCAGAGAATGAAAAATACATCTAATAGTCTAGAGTTAAACGCATCATCTCCCCATCTCCCTTCCTTCCTTATCTACCCAAATACACAGGAATTTAAGAGTCTCTGTGTTTTCACCTGAATGACATCACGCACATTTCCTGCCAGGTGGTGGAGGGGTTCCCAGAAAGGAAGACCTAGTAAAAGGAGGCGCCCCCCCTTACCAGGTTATCTAACATAAAGAAATAAAGTAAAGCTGTCCACCAATGTCCATCTTCCTAGAAGAGCCAAGGCCCCCAAAGGGAGAAGTTACACAAGAAATTGTCATTGGTATTCACAGTCTATCATATGCTTCTGTAATAACAATAGTACTGATTAATAATGAAATCAATATCAAATTATCTTAGTAAAGTACTAGCCACTATACTAAGAAACACACATACATATACACCAATGTATTTTATATTATCTCTAGAATAAACTTAGACTTGGAGCAATGGTTGGGGCCCAAGAACAAGCCTGATAAATAGTGATGCTTCAATCTGGACTCAGATCTCATTCCCAGACTTCTTCTCCATTCCACTTCATGAGGCTGCCACCCTCCCCTTGGAAGGAGGTCTTAGATGTTGAGT